TCGTTTATTAGCGACTCTCTTTTCCTTTTTCTTTTTCTCTTCCCTTCACCCTGCCTTGTCTACGACGTTGGACACGTCTCGGATTTCTCTGACGTTTGCGTGTCATAATCTGGTGGATCGGCGTATCGTCAGTGAGGATTTTCTAAGTGAAGAATGTTCTTACACCTTCCCGTCAACAACTTGCAAACTCGACGAACGTCCGCACGTGATAAAAGGCCACGCTCTCTGTCAAAGAGGGATCGGGGGGAGAGTAGGTAAAAAACGAAAAAGCGATGCCGTTAATTCCGACAAGAAGACAGCGAACGCCGACGTTCCCATTAGCCGTATCAACTTTATTCAATAAAATCGTTCTCCCTTTCGCCCGTGATAGCGGACGCTGTGCACGCGACAGTCGCCGGGTGTGTTCACGGACGACGGTGTGTAGTACACGTGTACATAGCAAGTGCGGGGAAAGGAAAGGGAATACCGCGATCTGCTAGAGCAGAGAGAGCCGCGGCGTACGTAGCGTTGTTCTCGTCCGGCCGATGGGCGTGGACAAACGAGCGGAAAAATGGCGGGGTTTGGAAATGAGATTTGCTGGTAAACCGACAATTTATCGTAGGTATCTGCAAAAGCATCTCTTGACGTTCCTCTGACCAGAGTTATAATTAATACGCTCTCGTCACAGAGCGGCCGACCAATATTCCGTCGCGCCCACACACGTATCGCCGCCACGTACACGTACTTCGTACACGTTCAAACCAGCATATACCCGTGTCACGAATGATAGAGAGAGAATATGTGTATGTCTGTATATATGTTTGCGTGCGTGCGTGTGTATATGAGAGAGAGAGAGAGAGAGAGAGAGCGACGTATAACCAGCCGTTATACGTCGCGCGCGCTCGCGCTCGCGGCTCGGCTTCGCGCGGACTCCGCGCGTAACTGGTTGTTGATTAAGTTTGAATGACTGATGCCGCAAAAACACATTAAAACTTGAATGAGTACAGATGAAAATTTAGTCGCTAGGAATCAAGAGACCGCAGAGGCAAATGGCCTGGCAGCCGCACATACGCGCGGACTAAACCGCTCTCTCCTCTGACCCTTCTCTCTCTTCGTCCCTGGATCGGACGCGCCACGTCTCTCTGTCGTGCATCCCGATCATCGGGACACCGTTACGGTCCAGCCGAAATATAACAACGCGAAAAACACTCGGCGATTGCTATATCCGCCGGGCCGAGACACTCGCCCTCTCGGTTGACCACTGTGTAACGGAAACAACTTGCACCGATGATTTTCACCGGTGATTTTCCTCGATCTACTCCGCCAGTAGAGAGATGGATCGTTCATCGTGGCTTTGGTCAGAGGTGGTTTCCGTCGGAGAAAAATTATCGCGAAAACGTGGCGCGGAGTTTCTTCGAAACGCTCGTTCCTCGATCGAGGAAGATGACGCGGCGTCGAAAAACATTTTTGAGCGAACAGAGTTGTGAAATTTTTGTCTCATTCCTCGGAGATTGAATCTTGCGATGGTCCTCGTCTGACTGGACAATCCAGTTCCAATTAACCACAACGAAAATTACATTACACACACATACTCTATTACTCGTACACAACAAAAGTTACATTACATACACATACTCGTACTATTCTCCGAGATTCTTTTTCTCCTCATTTTCTTCTTTCTCTTCTTCTGCAGCGCCACTGAAGAATATTTTCCATTCTATAGAAATTACATTACTCGCGAAGAGTAATTGCTTTCTTAAAGCAGGCTTATCGTTCTATCGGCGATCAAGCTTGAAAAATCGACTTCGATCTTCGCGAATGGATCGCACACACCCGTGTCGTACTTTCTATACAGTCTCGGCTTTGCTTCTTCGAATTGACAAGTTGTAGATTGCGGTCACTGACAACCGACGGAATAAATCAGCTCTCCGTCTCTTAAACTACGATCACGTTTAAAGCCAGTCTCCTCCAGAGACTATCCCGTGTACGTTTTCCCCTCTGTGTTCCTTCAGATCTGACGTCTTACCAATTATTCACTCCGATCACCCTTGTAAAAAATCTCCTTGCATCTCGCGCCCTAATTGGAGAAATTCACGTTAAACTCGTCACTCGCCCAAAGATGTCACTCCGCCTCCCATACAGAGACATATAGGTATATAGACGACCAACGAAGGGAGAGGCAGAGAAAGACCAAATCGGGCGGCCAGCGAGGCTCGCAGTGCGAGCAACATCCAATCGTAGTTTTGAACGATCCGTCTCTTGGCCGAGGTTCTCCTTCGATTGTCGTAAAACAATTGGCTGGCGAGATTATCGCGATCGGTTGCGTCGTAAATACTTCAAAGATCGATCGGAAATCGCAAATCCAGTTTAGCGAACGATCGACGATGGAATGGGAATGGGCATCCATCAACGTGCGTGCAGTAGTAAAATGGTGGGCGGAGAGGCTAGGGGTAGAACAAGTGGAGCATAGGAAAGGCTACGTTGCCCGTAGCCCAAGCGTATAGGATGATCGTTTCCGTAATAAAAATCGTCAACCAGATCGTAGCTCACGTACCGATACCGGGCGAGGGGGAGGGGGACCCCCTTGCGCCACTGCGCGCAACCACTCCCTCGTTGGCCAATCAGCTCCTCCCGTTTCGCCCGTTTAATGTATTCAAATGTAAGCGGTAGCAGTGTTTATGTCTTGACATTGCAAATTGTGCCGGCTAGCCCATAACTTATAGTAATTGCTGCGCACCGGAGTAATTATTTATACGCGTGATATAGCATATAGACGTTCCCTTCTCTCTTTCTTCTCGTCCCTGTGTCTTCGTCCTCCGTCTTCTTCGCCACCGGGATGGTTATTCCAACCACGAGAGGTATCTGTATCCCCGGACGGTACGTAATTGTGAAGCGTGAATATCGAGAGAAGGGGGCAAGCAAGGGGGGCCACATCCAGCAGAACCCGCGATATTAATCTCGAGCCGTGCGCCCGACGAATCGGCGACTTCGATGCCTCGCGCCACAGACAAGACGGAATCCGCCGCGCAAGGAAAAACTGCTGCTCCTGCGTTTTCGCGTCTGGTACGTGTCCAGTCGATTCTACTTTCACGTTCGAACGCAACGTGGGCAGTCCATTTGTCCGGCGACGAACGAACGATTTATTCTTTCGTGCTGTCTGTCGTTGTGTTTCATTGAAATAATATCCAGCAGTTCGTAGACAGACGAGTGCGTTCAATCCGTTCCGTAAATGGAGTTTAGATACGTAAACTTTGATCGTAAATGGAAATTTCATTGTCATCGAGCTTCGAGATTACACGAACAGACCGTGTAAAACATACACGGAAATTTTGTTTCTCTTTAACAGAGGATGTATTTTAATTACGAAGCCGAGGGTAAATGAATCTATTCTGAATCGATTTCATTAATTATGTACGTTTGTTACATTTTGACGAAATTCCTGTAAATTCGTCGGGAACTGACGGTACATGTATACGCGTAGTTTTTGTTTAATTCAAACACAATTCCAAAAGATGCGAAACACGATGGCGTACGCGTGTATTATTTTTTCCTCGGAGAATTGAAAATATTTCTCAATATTATATCTCCCGTCGAATATTTATAAATATTTTCTAAACAAATACAGCCGGAAAATAAAAAGTAATTATCTTTTTCTGGCCTCAACAAACTCGTTCCTGAAAAAAATTTTAAAAACACGATAGTTTATTTTACCGAAGGAGCACACTCTTTGGAAAACGTTCGTTTTCGTCTCTTTTTCACGTTTTTGAGTAGGAGAGAAAACAGCGATGCAGAAAGTATTTTCCGCGGCGTAAAATTTAAATATCCTTCCGAGCAAAATCGTTCATTTCGAATACGACGAAACTAGGCTCATTCGTGTCGCAACGATTACTCGCTCTATCGCCACGGCAAAACTGGTAGTATTAAAATATTTTATGACACGTGCATGTATTAGCTTTGGAAGGGATCTACGCTGCTAAACCTTGCCACGCTATTCATTAACGGCAAGTGATAAACGTCGACTCACCAATTAAGATAGATTCTAATTGATACGGGCAAGTATCGTAAACGGAACAAAATTAGAAAGTTGTCCAAAGAACAGAGTTGAGCAATTTTTCAGGTGGGAACATCGAGGCGAGCTACATGGTAGCTTTTGTTGCCGAATACTACCGTGGTGCCATCTCCACCGAGACGGACGAACTGCTAGCCGTAAAAAAAATCGCGTGAAATTTTTTCGAAATACGTCCACCCTTTCCCCTACCATCGTACCACCCCGGTTGTAATCGATACACCTCGAGAAACTTCCAGCCGACTTACTGTCACAAAATGGACGAGTTATTCGCGTACGTGACGCCTCGCCCACGATATACGTACATATATCGATAGGTCTGGGGAGAAAATTACCGTGTTGCTGCCACCCCCTTCTTGCCAGCAGCCATAAATCACGGTCGAAATTAAGAATTTCAGCGGCTAGACGGGAAGACGGGCTCGTTCGCCGAGCAAACGCTAAGGGCATTCAACAAATTTCACGGTGTCTGTCGATAAATCAGTTTAAGCATTCAGTCGATGAGAAAGGGGTGGTTTTGCGGTGTAACAGGTGGTTGAAATTCTCATTCGCCGCGCCTTTTTACTCCTTTATCGGCAAAAAAGGAAAGAATAAGTTCCAGTTTATGAATCGGAGCGCGTTTAACGCTTCTTAAAAGGATAAAGCAGCCCCGACGGCTTTTTCAACAAGGGAAATTGCTCAGCCTTTTACCGAGAACTGCGGGACATATCGATGGAAAGACCAGCTCAGACGTTTTTTCCTTTTTCTTTCTTCTATTTCTCCCTTTTTTATCTATCCTTCTACACCTAATGAAATTTATACATCGCGCGGAGATTCGTTTCCTTGCGGCGATTTTTATTCGATCACTCTGTTCACGGGATAGCAGAGGGACGAGGGGAAGAAGCGTGAGAGTGTAATTTGTTTCGTCATTATTATTATTATACACGTTATCACAAAAAAAAAAAAAAAAGAAAACTGGCGATGATCAACTCGATTTGTTGTTACATCTTCCGGGGAAAAATTTCACTCTTATAAAAGTCCTTAAATTACGGTACAAATTAAATAAGATCGACGATTATTTACACGATTATTCACAGCGGGAGAAACTTATTGTACAATATATGGTGCGTTAAAGCTTGAAAATTTCCATATGCGAGGATACAGAGTTGCGTGTTCCTATTCACTCGACGTTACAGCCAACTAATTCTCTCGTCGCGTTTCTTCTTAAATACTATTTCTCTAAGTTACTCTAACTGCTCATGAAAGACCTACATTAATATAACGGGCACAACAGTCGCGATCTCCTTATCGTAATACATGCATCGTAATCGTAGTAAAACTAGTTTCAGTCGTATCGTTAGGATGTTTAAAAAATGAACGATTATGTCTCTCCTAAGGCACAATTTCCAATTTAAATTATCATCATGATACATCGTCGAAGATCATTTCAAAGCGTGACCTAAAAACTACATCTTAAATTTATATAATGTTTATTCGTAACGATCGATTCTTCATACAAATCGATATATTCGATTTTAAAAAAAAATTTGGAAAGAGGAAGGGGAATAAAAAGCAATTTGGAAAAAGAACTCGAATATTCCGAATCACCAAGGTCTCCACATATCGCCATTGGCGCCAGAAGTACCAGCCACCGCTGCAGCAATTTTGATAGAATTAGGATTGGTGTTATTTCTGTTGGCCGAGCTGGTTGCTCTGCTAGGCAGATCCTCCATGATAATCGGCTGATCTTCTTTGGACTTTAAAAGGTCGTTGGGAGAATTCATGGTGGTGGAGCTAATAGGTTCTTGGTTCCTGGCTTTCTTATCAGCGATCACTGAAAGATCGTCGGAATTGTGCCTCTTGATAGCTGCTCCTTTCCGTATCGCGGCGGAACCAGTGCGATTGTACGTTTTTTCCGTGATCACCGAAAGTGGTTGTCTTAAATTCTGCGTGGCCATTTCGTTGCTGTTCAACGATTCGGAAGAATCCGCGGATTCGTTTTTGATCGCGTCCGATTTCGGATCTACGAAGATCGGCACCGGCGACTTGCTGTTGCTGGTCGAGCTGATCTGCGGTTTCTGAGTCTCTGGCGACGAAGAGAAACTCTTTGAGGCTGCACTCTGACCAGGTACCTTGAATCGACGTTCCTGATGATTAGGCGAGTGTGCCTTAGGACAGTGCTCGGACTGATGGCTTTCCTCGCCGTAGCTCGAAGTGGACGTCGACGGGCTCAACAGGGGACTCTGCGGCCTATGAACAGCGGAGAAAGCGGAAGACTGTCCGATTTTCGAGATCGAATTTTCGGTGGCTGGAGGAAAGAATGGAAAATTTGCGGAAATGGCAGCCGACTGCGGTACCAAAAAGGCTAGCTCCCCGGTCGGCAGTCTGCTAGGTATCAACTGAACACTGTTTGGTATCTGTATCCTGGCACTTCCATTATTATTCTCGTCGCCATTCTGGAAATCGCTCTGGAAACCGACCTTCACCTCCGGATAGAGCCGTTCCGGCATGTAGGGCACGTAGTGGCTGTAGAACGGCGCCATTTGCTGGAGATTGCTAACGCAATTGTTTAGATGTGATACCAGTCGTTGCTTCACAACAGGGTCCACGTTCTCGAGGTGGTTGACGTACCGCGATACTTCGGTAGCACATTCAGAAAATCCGGAACGGAATTTCGTTAGCACCGCCGGATCGGTAGCGATCGCCGTGCTCAATTGCTGACGCTGTACCGCCTGTAAATGCTTCACCGTCATCTCGAGGATATCGGCCTTCTCGAGTTTCGAATGCCTCTTCGGCTGTAAGAAGAAAGAAAATCGCACGTTAATGATTTATCCCGACGAGTCACATTTTCGTCGATCGATTGCAATCTCGTGCCCGCGCAACGACTTTCTAGAAATTTTTTTCCTACGATTCGATACCCGACGCTAGGGTAAAAAACGAATCTAGAACTCGATCGGTAACGCAGAAAGTCCGCGAGACTCGGTCGAGAAAGGGGGATCTGTAATATCGACAGGCAGCAACGGCGAGGATGAAAAGGTGGTTCCCGACATGTTCGGAGCATAGCAATCACAGTAGCCCGAGGGTGCTTTTCGCGAGCCAGCATTAATACCGATCGTTCATCCACGAAATCTGTGACGCCTCGGTAACGCCCACGTAATTGACTTGATTCGACCTGCTGCCTTAATAACAGACTACCAACTGCTTCGGTAGCTAGAACAGGGCAATTTCGTAGTTAGCCTACGGCCACGCCGTGTTACATTCCAGGGGAGACATTCCACGTTACATTCCCTATCGCGTAACGTTTACGTCGCTCTTATCAGCTGCAAAAAAATCGGCTCTTAAATGTCCAAATTATGGCGTACGATATTCATATAAATTGGAAACGAGTTCGAGGAAACGTGTCCACGAGACACACGTTCTCTCTCGAAGAAAAACTGTCGCAAATAAAAAAGGGGGGCAAAAAAAAGTGTATCTCTCGTCGTGGGAACCCGTTAGAAGTTCGAAAGCGTTCCGAAAGCTTTTTTTTTTCTCCACGGAGCAACAACACCAGCCCTTTCAATATTCCTCGGATTGCCAGCAACCTTTTAGGGGATCGATCGTTCAATACTGATGCAGTTCTACAACTCCAAAATCCTATTGTACTCTTTCTGCATCACGATCCTCGTCCCAGGATCAGCCGAGTGCTCGCATTTTTATGGTAAACTAGCGGTCACCTTTAAAATAGGCGTGGGAGTCGAAGAAGAGATCGCTTACACAGCCTATTGAGGGCTCTTCTCTTCCCCCATTCTCCCTTGAACGAGCATCCATTCGAATGAGAACAAGTTCACAAACAAGAAAACTAGTCTTGGAAATATATTTGAAACAGCAAATTTATCGGCACCTCGTTATATCTATCTTTTTAATCTTTTTTTTTTTTCTTTTTTTTTCTAGAGTATTGAAAATTATTAATCGACACTTTTATCCCCCCACCCCATCGAGCGTAGGAAACGATGAAGCGTTGTTCGACGTCTTCACAAAGCAGAGTTTATCAATGAAATTTATCCTGCGAGCAAATCTCGCGAGGTTGGGGAAATCGATTTTCCCAAAGACAAATTCGACACCGAAGGAGATCAGAGGAACAAGACACCTGCTAAAAGAACGACTAAAAGACGAAGGCGTCGAGCATCCACCCTCTTTTCTTTTTTTTTTTTTTTCTTTCGTTTTCCTTTTTTTACGGGGATCGGCGCCGTCCTCGCGAAGCTGGATCCTTAAAGATGATACGGTCAACAAAGGAAGGCTGCAACCCGAGATGAGATTCTTTTTTCTTCGTAATAATTATTTCGTGGTTCCCACGAACGCGGGGGGCGTTTCGTACGGGGCGAACAGGACGGACACTGGTGCGAGCAGGTAGCGGAAGTCATCTGGACGTGGAGAGGAGAACGGTGAGAGTGCCTCGCTCTCTCGTTATGGTCCTGTCTGAGAAATCAATCTCGCTGGATCGAGTTACGTGGCGAGAAAGACTCTTGTCCTTGGATGGCGGAGAAGAGGAGGAAATCTCGCGGCACCGATCGAATTTTTTCATCGAAAATTCACAAATTTTCAACATGCGTAATTTTCTACTAGCTACGCGAAATGAAAAATTAAAAGATAGCTCAGCTCCTAAACATTGAAACTTTGAAAATGACATCGCGCTATTTGGTTAAGAGTTCCACCGATCAATAACTTTGAAAAATAAAGAAACTAAGGTAACTGAAATCTGTTTGAGACGGAAAGATCAAGTGGAATGTGGTCAACATCGCTTAGACACGTCGTTGGATGGACCCGTGGAGTACCATTGTGGAGTCCCCGGTGGAGATTACGTACTGGTAGAGAGGACTTCTACCATCCGTTCCCACGGCGAGGCATTTAAAACACTAAAACAAAACCTATCCAGCGCCTGCTACCGCTAGTTCCGATTCTATGGTCGAAAAACAAATCGTGTCGCGCGAAGAGGAAGGCGGCGAGGGAAAAAGGAGACGGCCTGATCAAACACTTCTAGCCAACATCCGCTGCACGACCTCTTCCTATCAGTTTAATTAAAAGATCGACTCTTGACCTTTATGTTAACAGTACCGAAACAATCTCGACCGACTGACGCTCCATATAGAGCTCATCTAACGATTATAATTTCGACCAATTTCAATTGACGATACATGTGAATTGAAATAAGAAAAAAGAAAGATAGAAAAAAAAACTGAGCGACGAGATTTGAACCGTAATCAGCATCCTCCGATGCATTTCTACTTTCTTTCGGTGCAAGATAATTTTTTAAAGAAAAAGGTAATAAGATAAAACATTCACTGCAGAGAGAGAGAGAGAAGAGGTCGATAAAATATCGACAGCGACAAAGAATTTTACAAACAGACGTAACATGCCTATCGGTCGATCCTACGAATATCTGCCCTTCTGAAATCAAATATCACTGACAAGTCCGCCATCAGGATCCATCAACCGGCAAAAAAAATCCCATCAGTCTAAGTGGCAACGAGAAAAAAATCTGCGCTCGCCGCTGGTGAACGAGAGAGGCTGCGCATATTTTCGCGTTATCTCCCGTAAACTCGTATCACGTCGCTAGATAAGTCGTGCACCGGTCACGTTTTCCACGGCACGTTTCGGGCGCCAGCGACAACGTGGATTCCACGAGCATCGCCGCGCCAGCCAGAAATCGCACGCATAGGCGCACCGTCTCCTACTCGCGTTTCGCGTGATCATTGTGCTCACGTCTGTTGTCCCTTCCTTGTCAAGAAATTCCTCGTCGGTCGCGTTTTCTTCGATATTAAGTGATTCAAACAGTATGCCCGACCTGACGTGGCGTGCAATTACTACGACTTGCCGATCGATCGCGCGGAAATCACTGTTATCGAACAGACTGATAAACGGTGCTCGACAACAGATGGATAACCATCCTACTCACGTCTTTTTTCATCGCCTCGAGTATCAGGCTCTTCAGCTCGTCCAGACACTGATTTATTCGAGCACGCCTCCGCTTCTCCATGATTGGCTTGTTGCTCTGCAATTTGAAAATCATTTCAGTTGCGAGTTGCCTTCTCGAAATTTTTTGTCGTTTCATTGGTAGCTTTGTCCTTGGGGGAAAATTGTGGGAGAATGTCACTAGAATTGATCTTTCGGTTGAAACGGAACATTTGAAGTTTGTTTCACTCGGATTTGAATGAAGAGAGATTGAAAATTAGTACGGTATAGCATAGATACGATTGCGATGTGATTTTAGAGAATTCCACGTTTCTTCAGTTTTCCCTCAAGTCTCCATTTGACTTTTAGGCTTTTTGTTAAATAGCGCATCTGAACAAAACGTATTTTAGAAAAATGACCAAAAGAGGCATCTTTGTGACTTTCGGTCGCAATAAATAAATTTATAAAGCTAAATTATTCTACGCTATTCCCTTATAAAAAAAAAAAAAACATGAAGGGTAGTCGCAAGAAAGATCAGAATGAAATATTCTCAATGACACTTTTCCCACTTTTCGTACAATTTCACGAAAACGAGGTTTCAATTAATGTTTACCCTACGCAATTCCGCCTTGGTCATCCCTGGTTGCGCTTGCGATTCGTGTTCATCCTCGCTGCCTGACATTTTGTAATTGTAATAATCCACCATTTATCCACGATAAAAATAGAAGGGAAAACCACTAATATTCGACCACGAATATTCCAACCACACACGATGATATTTCACTTCTCAAAGAGATCTGTCTTTCTAACAATCCGGCATGATATCCACGTGAACGTAGGCAAACTGTAGTTCCAAAGTTCCAGGAACAAGTAGTTGTTCACTAAAGTATTTCTTCGCAATTTTTCATGAACACATGGCTGATGGCGGAACTCCCGAGTGAAACCCCCCCAGACGAAGAACTTTCCTGGAGAAGAGGGATGGTCGCCAGTACTGGCGACGTCCCTCGTGGGGTGTAGAGGGTAACTGTTTGACGTTTTCGATTTCGAAGACCGCATGCCGATGCTCTCACCGTGTCCAGAGTGGGGTGAAGTGCGTTCTGGAGTGGGGTGCCGGAATAGCATCGGAGAGGGGAAGTCCTCGGTCCTCCTGAGACCTGTTGATGTGTGGGAATTCACGCCGTCCCCTGGTACACAACGTAATACGTCTCCTTCGAAATTCGAGTCTCTCTCTCTCTCTCTCTCTCTCTCTTTCAGTGCTCTTTTCGTCCTCTCTCGCCACGTCCACCCTTTTCCTTTCGTGACATTCTCAAAAAAAGCTGCTTGTGAAAGAGAGATAATATATCGTGTTTTTGATATAATTGCTCGAAAAATAAAATGTTTATTCCCGTTTCTCTTCTTCTTTCCTGTTTCAAAGTAATACCTGAGATACGAATAACGTTTCAATCACAATTGCGAGGGCTCGGGTTTCTAAATTTTAATTTTATCGTTTCCTTCCTCGAGTTGAAATGCGCGGCTCTCTCTATCGGCGAAATTAAATTGGTCGGATCGAAATCCCACCGACGTGGTTTTTTTTTTTGCGCGGAGTTCCGGCAATCGTGCACGATATCGCGATTTCCCATGGGGTTGCGTGCGCGAGGCGGGCGCGCGTTTCTCCGCGGGATCGTTGCGTAAAAGAAAGAGTTCATTGATGAAACCGGCGGGCAAGAGCATTCACGGTGCATGGCCCGGCGAGTAAACACTGTTTAACGTTTCAGGAGAATTCCCACACAGGGCCCCCATCTCGATCCCGTATGCATCGTTGGCATCGTATCGCGTTGCGCGCGCCAGCCAAGCTTATGACACACGTATACACACGTCCGGCACACGGTTCCTCTACCTTTCTCTGTCCAACGATCCTCTTTGTCGTCTACGTGTGTCATTAATGTGGCACACGGTTAGGGGATCTGTCGTGGCCTGCCTGTGATTAACTCGCCTCTTGCAGACGGTATTATACTACAATACATATTTCTTTTCATTTGATATTTCGGAGCCTCGCTCATCTTTTTCCTTCCTGCGTCCTTCTTATCAGGATGTTGACGCCGCTCGGGAACTTCGAAGTGTAAAAACATGTACAAAACATAGTTACGTAAAATATATTTTTCTGATAGACAAAGGACGGGTCAGAATTTCTTGTTGGTACAAAGAAATTTATTGTCTGACATTTGTCGCGATTCGTTTGTTTTTTTATACTGACAAAGAATCCTAACACCCATCACACCTATTGTGTCGCTCAAGCGTTCACTGTTGTCATCTCGGTCACTGACCCGCGGATTTGTTTATTTTATGCTCTCAAGTCCTTCGATCGACTTTCACGTCATTTAAACCGATTACAGTCCGGGCAATTAAAAATTGGCACGTACTTTGAAGTGATTGGCCAATTTCTATAAAATAGGCTCGCAGGTAGCAAGAGATTTTGCAATTCTCTGCAACAAAAGAATCATTTTCTCCAAGAATCAATCGACGATTTCGTAACCAAGATTTCAGTTAAGATAAAACACAGTTCGAAGCTATTTGAATCAGGTAGAAGCTATCTTATTCCACAATAAATTCAGTGCAATTCAAAACAGACTTGTTTCACTTGCCTTCCACAGCCTTCGAGACGAAGTGACACACGCACGACACCAGGTACACGATTGTCCTGAAACGTAGGAGTTTATGAAATTATTTCCTTAGTATTTGTCATAATGGAAAACGTGCTATTTGTAACAAGGATTGACGAAAATCAAAAGGCACGTCTACGAGTAAGTAAACATTGTAAAACTATAAAAAGGAAGAGAGGGAAGACGGTCTCGTGATGATTTTTGTGTTTTTACGACGAAGCGGCAGTTCGTGCGAAACAATAAATATTGGACACTCGTTTTGTTGACAAAATCAGTTACAGCCCATTTCAAGAGGCAATGGACGCCGCAATAAACAGATGCACTTTTACGACCCACGATTATTGCGCCGGAAAAAATTTTACTTTTCAAGTCCCGAGGTGACCGTTGCCGACCGTACCGACTTTATGCTGTATAAACAATATAAACGTCCTTTTCACTTGTTGATTTATTACACCTTCGCCTCCTCGACGATCCTTCGCGATTATTTAATAAATATGGAAGTTTAAAACGACAGTTTTAATTTTTAAAAAAAGGCACGCTTCGAATTGTTTTTTTATTTACTAATTCTTTGCAAGTAAACTGTTGTTACGAGTGTTGCATCTCTTTCTTCTACACATTTCCTCTTTTTAGTCCGGAAATATTTTTCGGTGGCTATCGTTCCTCGATAAGTCGAAATTAATGGGTGTCTATTATCGAGCACCAGCGTTTCACCTCGCACGTGAAACGAGCATTTTGCCCATGAAATAAACCAGTTTTGTTCCAAATGAAATTTCCTCACGGTCGAGCGTTTCCAGCGAGCCCGCATCAAAATTTTCCCGGACGCTGATCATCGGCAATCGCGAGCACACAAATTTCTGGCGCGCGAGCCTGGCGCGATATTTGTCGAAAAATTAAATTTGCATGCCACAAACTCAATATGCTTTTCATTATTCGATATTTGGCCGAATTTCACGGGACGCGATTGTGTTTACCAGGATTCAACATTGCCGAATTAAGGTTCAAATATATCTACTCAAAAAAAAAAAAAAAAAAAAAAAAATACGATACTCTTGGCAATTTCATTCTGTTATTATTTTATTTTGGATTCGTTATCGTTTCATCATCGAGTCACGTTATAACATACAAATCACGTATGTATACATAAGTGTACGTCACAATCTCGAGACGCAACCGCGATAAGTTGGCTACGATTAGAGGTAAAATAATTTTCTATCACATCGTTGCGTCACAATACGCGTGTGCACCGCGATAGTCGCGCGATAAATCGGTTCTCGAAACCAGCTGTGCCCCCGGCTCCACGAACTTCCGTGTTTAACATTGCTCCGCAGCGTATTGTACACGCGCGCGCGCGCGCGCGAAGCAGATGTACGAACAGCCACAGCTAATCTGAAACCTTTTACGCTCGATTCCAGATCGAAAAATCAAGATCCAACCCCGAGACGAGATCATCGAGCGAATAAAAGCTGACGTTTCTATGCAAATAAACGGGTTGGCCGCCCTTGTTTCTCGCCCTGTCGTTCATCGACTCGCTCCCGGATTATTTTGCAGATCGACGATAAAAGAGTCAGGAGGGGAATACGCATGAAACTTTGGAGGCTCGCGAATTTACCGAACTAATTATTGCGTTATAATGCCCGATTGTGATTATTTGGCGGAGGCCGCATTGAAATTTTGTCAGGCTTCAGATCGCAGTCGAGTACACTATTGTCTGCACGTGAAGTTTTACGCTGAACGGGCGTTAGCGAAATTTTCAACGAGCCTTTCCAAGCACAATTTACTTCCTTACTCCACCGGGAAACTCGGTGATTTACAATTTACCACACTATAACATCTGTCAACATATCTTTTTGCGATTTTTGCCACACGTTCAATTACTTTCGTACAACCTTCAAACGATTTCGTGCATAAATTAAAAAACTCAGTGAGAAAGATTAGTTTGAGAATTTTTAAACGAGAGGTCCTGAATGAACTTGAATTTTACAGCAACGTTGCCAAACCGACGACCTATAAGTTATTTTCCGACGTTACCCGACGAGCGTTACATTCCGGAGGAAAGGTTGGGCACTTTAAGGCCAGATACTTTATGGTTTTATTTCGGGTACCTAGCATCAGTAAATGCATGATCTGTTACGCTAAACTGCAGCTTTGTCCCTGGCACTGGTATATTATTGCGCAGCCATGGCGGACCCCCTGAGTTACAAGAGGGCCAAGGCAAAGAACCTGGGCCCCTTCTTGCCTTTGCATCTGCAAACTCTGGACTCGGAAGTTTCGAACGAGGGTCGACTGGCTTCCACAATAAAACAAGCCCTGTGGCCTTGAATTTTGTTTTTAATTTCGTCGCCCATCTTGCCACTACGTGCACTACGTTCGTGCCACGTTCAAAGTTTCATATTCATCTCCGAACGAAGCGAAAAATGATCTAATTTCTCTACAAAATCTATCCGGACTAAAGAAACCAGTCGATACCTAAGTAGCTGTCGAAATCTAACAACGATCAAGAGCACGGAACCTGAAAGTACAACTGGAAGAGAACGTTCTCATCGTCCAGCACGAAATACATTTTCATTCCCATGATCCACAGTTTCCCATAAATATTCCGAGCTAGCTGTCATAACGGAAGGCGTCGCGGTCAGATGTCGCGACCTCCTCATTAACCCCAGGAGGCTGCCTGCTCTCGACAGAGAAAAGGAGAGAGGAAGGAGGCTCGCTTGACCACAAAACCTCTTGAGGAAGATCAAGAAGGCGAAGCCACGGTCTAAATTTGGAACGCCCACCCTCTGCTGCGAGAATCGATCTTGGGATACACCTGCAGCCAGAGAGATCCGACAGGAAGGAAACACACACCGTCCCCCAGAAATGTCTTGGAATCTTCGCTTCCGCTGGCCGAGCCTACGCTTCCTAGTTTCACAGGCAACCGGCTAATCGATTTCTTTCCGTCAGCCTCCTTTCGTTCTCCACCGAAATTAATTTACTTTCACACAATTAATCCCGACCGTGTTACGATCGTTTTGCGGGATGTACAGGGATCGCGCCGGCTACCAAGGGTGTGAAAGTATCGAAACCAAGAGTCGCTGGAAAAAAGCAACTGGAAGGTGTGAGA